AGCTCTCTTCTAGCCCTCCTGAGCTCCTGTTGGTCACCAACATATAAATATATATATAAATATATATATATATAATAGGTATTATGTTGCATATAAAACATATTACATATAATATTATATTACATATAATACGTATTATATGTAACACATGTAATACACATAATCCATCCCACTATCACATGTGTATTACATATGTAATATTCATATATATTATATTATTTACAAAATCATTATTTTTTCCTTGGGAAATAAATCATTATTTATCTTTATTTTCCAAAGACCCACCTGATTTTGATATGAGCCAAAACAAAGATGAGTTTTTCACCCCATACTGGATGCATTAAGTTGTATATAAACTTCATGTGTTGATCTTAGATCTTGTAAATTCACTCAGCGTGTGAGTAAAAGTGCAGCTAGCTTGCAGAAATAGACAGATTGAGTCGAACGCTGCTGCTGCTCCATGAAGAAGACTCATTGTTAACTCGGCGCACGCAGGTTTCCGTTGCACTGCATTGTTATCGTGACAGCTGGAGTTAAGATGTCTCTGAATCATTATTACTCATAACATGACTGGAGCCAGACAGCTGTTTCCAAATGAAGTTATGATTCCTTGAGAGTGTTTGCTTGTGCGTGTTTTCATTTTTATCTCAGTCCTGCAGCAGCCTATAGTTTCTCAACTAGAACAAGAGAGTGGCAGTTTTTATCATGATTTTTTATTGTGGTTTTTGGAAAAATATAGAAAAGCACTCTGCTTTCGTTTCCCCAAGTGATTAGGAGTATAAGATAGGTATATGGTCTATACAAAACATGTTCATTACAGTTTTCTCCACAAAATCATCCTTGTATATTGAGATTTTACTTTTTTTTATCAGTTCTGGTAATTTTGAGCTCCTTTCAGAATGGGATGTTTTAGCAAGTCTGTCACTTAAATGCATTTGAAAGTGGCTGCAAACAGAAGTGCAATTATACAATCTTACATCTTGGAAAAGCAGAAGTGGAGCCTCCTGCACAACCAACAATAATGCAGCAGGTGGTTTCTAGATGTTAAGTCAACAACCAAACACTTGTCTTTTCCAGCAGCCATTGTCAGTCAAGTCATGTTTATTTATGTAGCACATTTCAACAACAAGGCAGTTCAAGGGATTATTTTATGTTTCATAAAAATATAAAACAGTCATCAGTTATGAAACAAGCAATAAACATTACTTTTTGTCAAATTTCTTCATTAAAATCATCAGCCAAATGTACATCAAATATATTGATCAGCGTTCAATTTACACTAATCAAAGGCAACTCTAAACAGGTCATAATGACTTTATGCTCGTATTATTTCAACTTTATTTTCATAATATTATGAGAATAAAGTCAAAATAAAATCAGAATAAAGTAATATTCCAAGTTTATTCTCATTATTTTGACTTTTTTCGCTAAGTATTAACGACTACTCCAGTATTATTACGACTTTTTTCTCGCATTATTTTGACTTTACTCACATATGTCTTTACTCTTGTAATACTATGACTTTATTATTATTTATTTGCAGTTTTCTGGAGGTTTGTTCCAGATTTATGGTGAATAGAAGCTGAATGACGTTTCTCCATGTTTGGTTCTGGTTCTGAGGAAGCAGACCAGACCAGACTTCGGTAAAACTAGACCAAACGTGCTGGAGCTCTACTTAGGTTGCTAGGCAACGGGTAGAGTTCCACTGGGGTTGCTAGGTAACGGGCTGGGCTGCTCTGGGGTTACTAGGTCAAGGGTCACAATGGCTGAATGTATTATGGAGTATTAGGGCCATAGTAAGAAAAATAAAATTACAAGAATAAAGTTATAATATTGGGAGAATAAAATCATTTAAATTAATAAATTATTAAATTAATTTTTTTACTTTAGTAAATATGAGAAAGATGTCATTATTATGAGAATATAGTAAACAAATTGTGAGAATAAAGTCATTATTTGAATGATTAAATAAGTTATTATTTAAATTATTATTTAATGTCAATATTTTTAGAATAAAGTCAGTATTATGAGAATAAAGTTGAAATACTATAATTCTTATCTCGACTTTATTCTTGTAATTTTACTTTCCTGGCATGGCTCTAATACTCCGTCTTATGCAGTCGAACAAAGTTTTGCGATGTTTTATAACTACATTAAAATGTGAAAAGCTTTTAATTCTTTCTATATGATTAAATTAAAGTGACTTTACGTTTTAGTGTTAAACTAAATCTGTTCGTCTTGGCAAATTCCTTCAGACTTCTGTTGTGAATCAGAGTAATATAAATAAACTGAATGTATTTAAATTAAACCTGGGCGATAGCAGCACACACAGAAACATGTTGGTGGCAGCTCTTGGCTTCCGTACGTCTGTCCGTCAGCAGACGGTCAGTTCGACATGTCATGATGGAGGAACACGACCAGCCAAAACGTTTGTTAAAAACGGTGCAATCCAGAGTCAGATGAGAGAAAACCGTCCTTAAAAATGACTAGAGCAAAGAAATATGGTAATAAATGTTTAAAAAGCAAAATGTGCTGCTTAGTAAAACTTGATTATCACAAGAATAAATTATAACATTACAACATGACAAGAATAAAGTCATAAAATTCAACAATAAAGTTGAAATAATATGAGTCATAATATTCTGGCTTTATCCTCATAATTCTACACTTTTATTATTATGTCAACATTTTTCTCATAAATATTACTTATAATAGTTTGACTGTATTATCATTATTTTGGCTTTATTCTGTTTATTAAATTTTATTCTCTTAATATTATGATTTTATTCTCATAAGACTCTGACTTTATTCTTTAAATATTATGACTATTCTCATATCATGACTTTATTGTTGTAATTGTATTACTTTTTTCTCATAATTTAATTTAATTTTACATTATTTTCTCTGTTGTATGTTTGTATGGTGGAAACATACAAAGTATTTCCACTTCACTCACATCACGCTCTCATTTTACAGCTCTGAGTCCAAGAAGAACAAAAACTATTTTCAAATTATTGTGAAGCAATTTTTTTAGAATAAATTTGTACATTTTATTCACTGAGCTGTTTGAACATTTACTTGTTTTTCTCAGCATCAAACTGAGAGAAATTATTTCACACAGATTAAATTAGCCAACATCCACAAACAGTGTCTTTATTTTTATAAAAAGGATTTTACAGATTTTTGTGTCTGTTTACTTCATTAAAAATCAAAGAAAAAATATACAGCTAATCTTTCTTACTCATGAAAAGGCATGATAAATATAAGTGTTTATTTTATGTCTATTTTATGGTTTTATGTTTCATCTTCGTCAGCTTCCACAGAGGTCGTCTTCTCTTTTGATGTGGGGAACGGACCTCTGGAGGTCAAAGTGCACTCCGACCTCCCGCTAAATGACGACCGGTGGCACAGCGTGAGAGCGGAGCGAAACGTGAAGGAGGCGTCGCTGCGCGTCGACGGCCTGCCTGCTGCCCTACAAGAAGCTCCGACTGATGGATTTATTCATCTGCAGCTCAACAGCCAGCTATTTATAGGTGAGAAGCAAAGGTGGGAGTTTTCCCATATGACTTGACAACAGAACGAACTGTGATGCTCACTTTATGTGGGAATGAGCTTTCAGCAGGACGTTGCTCTTTAACAAGGTGAACAGAAGTTTGAACTAAGCAGTTTTTCATCAGATCTGAGCAGATCACATTATACATGAAATGCTGATTTTGAGATTAAGTAGCTTTGCTAGTTTCAGCAAACTTTGAGCGTCTGAAAAGACTGTTTTGTTATTTAATGGTGATCTATTATGTCCCCTTGAACAGTTTAAAATAGGTCTATGGGGAATACAAAATATTTTTATTATATTTGTTTTGCACAAAATTATTCTTAGATAATGATATTTTAGTCTGCTCAGCCTACTGACTTTTGTGTTAGGGCATCTGGTCATTTGAAATCCAAATAAGCTGCTGCTGGCTACACCCACCAAACTCGATGTTTACACTCACACGTGAAAATTGCTGCAATTATACAACCTTACATTTGTGAAAAGCAGAAGCAAGGGTTTCTGGATGGAAAATCAAAAAACAAAACACTTCTCTTTTCCAGCAGCCATTGTACAGTGCATACAGCAGTAAAACCAGCTGATCAAATGTGTTGGAACTCTGCTTGGGTTGCTAGGCAACAGGCTGGGCTTGGCTGGGGTTGCTAGGTGACGGTTTATTCCCTGCTGAGTTGTGATGTTACATTTCGAATATTTTTGAAACAGGTTATTTTCTAGATACCATAAAATATTAACTTATTGCCAAGAAAAAGTTGGGTGTTTTTTAAGTGTTTCGTCTGTTTTAGAAGCAGTAAAAACCCAAATGGAAGCACAAAAATGTGGAAAAAGTGAATTTTACACGTTTTTGTACTCTTTACAACAGTGGTCTCCAAATTACGGCCCGCGGGCCGAATCCGGCCCGCCTCCACATTTGGTCCGGCCCCCTGAACAATAACTGAGAGCATTTAGATTTTTTTTTTTCATATACCGTATTTTCGGGATTATAAGCCGCTGCTTTTTTCCTAAGTTTTGAACCATGCGGCTTTTATG